ACTGAAATTTTAGATTCTGAATATGCAATAAAAGTTAGAACATCACTTCAAGCTACTAAATTACTTCTGAGAGGTGGACAGGCCTTTAGAGGACATAATGAGGGAGATGATTCATCTTACCAAGGCCATTTTCTTGAATATGTTAAAGAGTTGCGAGAGGCTAGTCATGACACAGATTTTCGTGAAATCGTGGGATGACCTCCCCGGTGATTCAAAAAGACCTTGTTTTTGCTTGTTCATATTTAACTACTTCCAATATTGCTAGTGAAATTGGAAGTGATGTATTTGGTGTGTTAGTTGATGAGTCGGGTGATTGTTCGGGTAAAGAGCAAATGGCTCTTGTTGTGCATTATGGTTATATGTTGGTTGTGTTATCGAAAGATTTCTTGGAATTGCACATGTAAAAGAAACAAACGCTCCTTCCCTAAAAAAATCCCTTTTAGACATATTGTCCCCTAATGGGTTGAGTTTATCCAAGATTCGAGGTCAAGGGTATGATGGAGCTAGTAATATGAGTGGACGGCTTAATGGCTTAAAAGCATTAATTCAAAAGGATAACCCCTCTGCTTTTTATGTGCATTGTTTTGCTCATCAGCTCCAATTGGCTCTAGTTGGTAGTGTGAAGTGTCACATTGACGTGAGTACTTTTTTAGGCCTAGTAAACAGTGTGGTGAATATAATTGGGTGTTCTAACAAAAGACAGGAGCTGCTCCGGGACAGGCAACATGCTCATTTACGTGAGATAATTGAGTTGGGTTTGGTAGAAACTGGCACAGGTTTGAATCAACAATCAGCTCTTGCAAGGGCGGGTGATACACGTTGGGGGTCACATTATAGGACTTTTACTAGCTTGATGACATTGTTTGGTCCTGTGACTGGTGTCCTTGAAACAATGATTGATGATGTTTCTTGTGATGTTCGTGGTCCAGCTAGGACTCTGTTGGATGGCCTACTTTCTTTTGATTTTATTTTGATGCTATATTTGATGGTTGATGTGTCAGGGGTGACGAATGATTTGAATATGGCTTTGGAAAGACGTGATCAGGACCTCTTGAATGCATTGACTCTTGTGAAGATATGCAAAGCGAGACCCCAAAAGATGAGAGATGACGGATGGGAAGCTCTCTTGGGAAGAGTTGTTACGGTTTGTACAACTCATGATATTCATGTTCCTAATATGGATGGTCCCTATCACCTATAAAAAAGATCCCACCGTCAAACTTCTTTTGTTACGAATTTGCATCATTACAAGACCGATTGTCTTGTTAGCATTTTAGATTTGCAATTGAAGGAGCTTAATTGTAGATTTGATGTGGAAAATACTGAGTTGTTACATTGTGTTGCATGCTTAAGTCCTGCCTCTAACTTTGTGGATTTTGATGTGGAGAAGTTGTTGAGAATGACAACATTCTATCCAAACGATTTCAATGATGAGACTGAATCTTCTTTTTGCAATCAATTTGCTAACTACATTGTGGATATGCATTTGGATCCTCGTTTTTCAGGATTAATAGGGCTTGCGGACCTTTCAAAGAAACTTGTAGCAACCAAAAAGCACAAGACTTATGGTGCCGTTTATAAGCTTGTGAAGTTTGCTTTGATCTTGCCGGTAGCAACTGCAAGTGTGGAACGTGTCTTTTCAGCAATGAAGCATGTCAAGAGTGCATTGAGGAACAAAATGGGGGACGAGTGGTTAAATGATCGTCTCGTGACATTCATTGAGAGAGATGTGTTTATGACTATTAGCAATGAAGAAATTTTAGATTATTTTCAAAAAAAACATGACCACAAGGAAAAATCAGTTTATGTAGTAAATCTCTTATACTTTATTAATATATTATGGAGTATGTTTTACTTTTTTAATGTAGTAGTTTTTTGATTGATAAAGATACAATCGTTGAATTATAGCATTAGATATGATTGTTTTGATACTTTTAACTTTATTTTAGTTTCGAACACCCAAAATGTAAAGGCTAGATCCGCCACTGCTCGTGCGTTATCGTTTTTCTATACTTTTTCTTAGTTGTTTTGCACTATTTGTGTATTTTTGAATTTTAGTACTACGTATGCAATTTTTTGTACTCCGTATTTATTTCAACATTTCATGTGAGTTGATTAGTGTTATGATATCTACTAATCGCAAGACTTATTCAAAATTTTTAGCATGTGTTTGACATTGTACCGTACCATTTTGTACCATTCCGAAACAACATGGTACCGAACGGTTCTATCCTTGGAACCGGACCGTACCGGACCGTTAAAAACCTCACGAATACATTACGGGTTTTACCAATTTACCGGACCGTTCCGGTCCCTTCCGGACCGCGCCCACCCCTAGTTTTTCTTGATCAAAGAAGAGCTGTTAAAGTATTTGCATCAGCAAGTGTCTCAGCCTGTTTGTGTAATTTGGCTGAGAGAGAAGCTACAGTGGCGTAGTGGTTCTTGATCTTTTCAGCCTGAGCGTTGAGGATGTGCAGACAGGGTTCTGTGTCTTTGAAAGAGGGGCTAGCTTTGGCAAAAGCACCCATAACACCCACATTGGAACTAAGTTGATATGTTTATGTGATAGGCTATGAAAAGGGAAGCTGAGCGGGAATGAAGAAAACTTAAAATGATGCTATTCTATTCAATTCCAACTTGTCTGACTATTACAATCTTGGGAAATCTGTCAATTGCACCCTCCTACTATGCGCGATCCGTCAATGGAGTCCTCGTACTTTGGAAACCCTCAATTGAACCCACCAACAATGAAAATTCTGTCAATTAGGTCTACATAACCGGATGCTTCCCGGTTAGCCCGTTGCTCGCTCACGTGGACATCGTACATTGAGGGTTCCGTTGCTGACATGGATTAAAAATTTCCACATCAATTGACAGTTTTCCCTTTCCTTTTTCAATTTTCTTTTCTCTCTTCCTACTTTCTCTTTTTTTCTCTCTTTCTTCTTTCTTCCTGATCCGCTACTCTTCACCTTTAATTTCCCAGTCCGCAGCTCCCCCCTTGTTCGTTTCTTTCTTTCGATGCTTTTAATTTTTCTTTTCCTTTTCTATTTCTCCTGTGCATCTGCAACTCCATCTCCTCAGTTCCCTCCTGCACAGACTACAGATCTATGGTGGAGGTGGTGGTGGTAGCTATGGAGGCTGGGGTGGTTGGAGGTCGTCCCAACTTCCAATAGAAAAGATGAAGGTGGAGACCATGGAGGTGGAAGCCGGATCGAGGCGGTTGGTATGGTGGTAAGGGCGGCGGAGGTGGTTGCTACGGAAGTCGGCGCGGCTGGAGTTCGTTTCAATGGAGGAGACGAAGGGACGGAGGTGGTGGTCGGAGGACGTTTGTATGGCGGAAGGGGTGGTTGAGGTGAAGGTAGAGGCCGGACTCCGGAGGCGGCGGCTATGGAAGCTGGCCGGCAGAGGTAATGGCTAGAGAGGCCACGTGATGTGGAAATTTTTAATCCATGTCAGCAACGGAACCCTCAATGTACGATGTCCACGTGAGCGAGCAACGGGCTAACCGGGAAGCATCCGGTTATGTAGACCTAATTGACAGGATTTTCATTGTTGGCGGGTTCAATTGAGGGTTTCCAAAGTACGGGGACTCCATTTACGGATCGCGCATAGTAGGAGGGTGCAATTGACAGTTTTCCCTACAATCTTTACATATGGATTACAATTGTGATGTCGTGAGGATACTTGGACAATCTTCCATAAATAACAGATTACAAAGTGAAGCTAATTGAGATTTGAGACAAAACAATAATAGAATAAATCAAAGAAATTAAGAGGCACCTCTCGTATTTGTACCACAAAGTTCCACAACAGCTAGCATAGACAAGATTTTTGCTCTCACGAACATAGTCTACGTAAGTAGTGTTTGTCATTGCTTCTCAAAAGCACTAATATTATTTTTGGCTTAAAAGGCTAAAAATGTGTTTGGAGATGAAAAGTTGAAAACTTCTGCTTAATTCAAGTACATTTAAGCTAAAAAAAAAGTACACTTAAGCTAAAAGTTGCAAGTTGGGATATACATGATTTTATCAGCTCCCCGTTTCCGTTAGGGGTAGACTCGAAACGGGTGGCCCGACCCGGAACCGGCCTGGGACCGGTACTGTTCCGGCCCGGCCCGAACCAGTGACCCGGCCCGGTGGTTTTATGGTGCGGGCTCAGGTGCCCCAAATGATGAACTAGCCCGACCTGGCCGGGCCGAGCCCAGTTCCAGGCCTTTTTTTTTTCATTTTTTTTAAATTTTCTGGGTTGGGATGGATGTTTTGGGTCATTTGGGGTGGTTTGGGGTGGGGGTGGGGGGATTAGGGGATTAATTAGAAAATTTAAAAAAAAAATAGGAAGTGGCCTGGAGCCCAGCCCGGCCCGGCCCGACCCGGACCCGCCAGACACCCGGGCCGGTTCCGATTCACACATTTTCAAATAAAAGCCCGGCCGGGCCTAGACCCGAACCGGAACCGGCCCAGCCCGAGTCCACCCATAATTTCCATAATTAAGTCCAACTTTTGGGATAATTTTATCCCTAGTCCCTACATGTTTTGAATAATCTAAAAGTGCCCTTTTCACAAAGTATCGTACGAGAAAAGTAACTTCAATATTACTTTTTCTTATTATTATACAACTCAGCACGTGAAATCAAAATTTACGTGTTTGGTGAAAAGTTGGCTAATAAATATGATAAGCTGGCTAATAAATATGATAAGCGTACAAGTCAAGTTTTTGAAATGCTACTGTGAAGATAAACATGCAACTTATTCACAAATACTATGTACTTGTTTATTCAAATGAAACAAAAATTTATGGTGATATATAATCAATTTCAACTTAAACAGATATACATATTTAAACTAATCAGTATAAATGTGACATATGTGTAGGGAAATTTAGTCACTTTACACATGTTTTACTCTATTGATTAGCAAAATGTGTGTTCTTGATGTCTTGATGAACAAAATACCTACAATTAATGACCAAACATTTAAAACAGTACTCTGCCCACAATGTCCCTTTACCAAACCAATAAAATGAAACATATCAAATTGACCAAATAACCCTCCATATTCATATAAAATAGTACAGCAAAACGGAATTTAGGCTAGGTAGGCTCCTAAATAGATATGAACGAATATATGTGTGTGTGAGAGAGAACGCCAATCAAATGATTAGATGTTTCATCTTTGAAACATAGATCAAATGAAACACACTTAAAGTTTATTAACCCCATATGAACAAGACATGTACATATTTCTAATACCTGCGGGAAAATGCAAATGTAACATTGCTACTCCGTATAATCATAAAAATACTTTTATCCCGAAAAAAGCACGGCTGATCTTCAGGTCTTTTGCTCATCCCGCCACAGTTCAATTCCCAGCCTCTTCCTTGTAATTGTTGGTAAATGGCAATTGTTACCTAAGGGAACATTTGTCTTCACACTTCATCACCTCAACCTCTTGGAAGCTTTTGATCTGTTCCTTCATCTTATGGTCATATATCATGAAAATGTCTTCGTTCTGTAACAACAACACTATTAGCTATACAAAAATAACATTACTTAGTGTCAATGTTCAAATCAGGAAATAACCGTAGCTGTAGTCTGTAGGTAGTTTATGGATGGTACCCATACTTTTAGGTAATTTCCACATTCAGTCCCCGACTCTAATTCATTTCACTTTTGGTCCCTGGCTATAACAATTATCAACTTTGGTCACCCACGATCACTTTATCCACTTCTAAAGCATCACTTTTAGAGCATGCTTATGAATTGCTTGCCACTTTATGGTCAAGCATATTCTAAAATTATCATCTATGTTCTCATCTTTCATCTTTTCTCACTTTTGAAGCACTGTTATGAATTTTGAGACTATTGTTGCTTTTGTCACTTACCCAGTTACCCGCAAAAACCAACAAGACATTATAGGGAAATTGAACAGATCAGTGATTGAAAATAAATATCAACTGGTGAGAAATCCGCGGTTTGAATGAAGTGTATAAGATGAAAGAGACCAAAGTGAGAATTACCTAATAATAGTTGAGGACAAAACGTGAAATTTTTTGGTTATGGATAGACTGATAGAGAGACCTTACATTTACACGAGTACCCACAACAAGGCATTGGTCAGTCAACTCCGACATACTTTTCCCGTTTTCACAAATGTCACTACAGGGTATGGATAAGCCACCTCTCATACTATATTCTGCCAAAAGCTGAGCAACGATAGCAGGACATCGTTCTGTCATTTTGTTCCTGTCCTCAGGGGACAAATCAGTAACATTCTGCAAACATGTGGTATCGGCGTGAATTATGCCATTCCCGCCATTTTCAGTAATATTCTGCAAGCTTGTGGTATCGGCATGAATTATGCCATTGCTGCCATTTTCACTCATTGTCTTTTCTAAACCAGCTTTGATCGTGCTAACTCGTGACAGCAAATCCCAAATCTTCCTCAGTCTTTGCTCCATTGGGTTACTCATGTCCATCAACTTAATGTTTTGTAATGGTTCCTTGTCAAGGTTCAACTCATTGATGCTTTTCCGCTCCTCAGAGGAAACCAATGCTGTATGAATAATAAAGCCAATCAGATAATTATTAATGCAAATATCTCAAATAGGGAAAATAAAAAACCATACTTTCATTTTGTAAATAGTCACTCGTCTATTATAACTGAGCTACATCTAGTCCGTCCCATAAAAATGACAGCTCAGTATTATCTATTATGATTTAAGGCAGCCTTTTCGGTAATACAGAATGCAGAGAATGCCCTTCGTTAACTCTAAACTAAACGGTCTAAGTGGTGATACTAATAGGAGGTACCAACTATATCTAAATTATAACCACAGAGAAACTCAAAGACATGTGCAACCAGATTCCATAATACAAAAACAACTGGGCAGCTAGAAATGTGGGTTTCCCTCACATATGATTGTGGAAATTACTGCTATATGAAAAGTCGAGCCGCTCAGCTCGAGCAGATGATTCACCCAATATCTCAAATATGGAAAATTGCCCTTTATGTAATAAGGGACCTTTCTGTCTTTCTGATTTTATAGATTCAGTGCCTCATTTGGCATAATTGACAAATGTGACAAAATTTACCAATTAGTATTGGGTTTATTGGAATTTTGTTGGGCATATAGAATGCCAAGAATGCCCTTTCATAAACTCTAGCATTTAACAGAAGGGTTACTTGTATCACAGAATAAACAAATTGAGGGACTAAATTGACAAGAAAAAGGCGTGTCCTAGATTACATAATACCCAACTTTTCACTGACAATGAAAAAGAACCAAATATTTCCCTCACCTGGATTGAACTGATGATTAGTCCAGAAAGAACCATCAGCAAGAGACTTTCTATTTTCTGTTGATTAAAAAAACCTTTATCAAGCTCAAGCTAGGAATACTCGTAGACATATAAGCGTGATCAATAAAAATCATATATATACCATAGATGGAAAACAGGTTATGCTTGGACATATACTCTGCAATATTCTGCTTCTCTTCATCTCTCCTCCTCCTCTTTCTCCCATGTACCTTGTTCCTTTGAGGGGTGAAGGGAAATGGAATTGATTTTGAATTAATAATTTCTGGTCTAATGTTTCCGAACTCAATCTGCTTTCTATCACTATAATGAGCAAGCTCTTTGTCATACTTTTGTGCTAGAGATTTGAATTTTACAAGTTGCAGCTCCGTCCACTTACACCGCCACATCAGTGGTCTTATGAAACCTCTCCACTGAGATGTCACCTTCTTCCTGGAAAATAATAGTTCCACTAATATCATGTATAATGAAGCTAAAAAGATGTGATTCCACGCCACCCTTCTTTCATCCATATTATTGATGCAATTCCACCGCCACCCTTTTGTCATCCATATTATCACACAATATTTTAAAAGCATTATTAGCTGTAATTTGGTCATATCATAGAACTTCTGAACTTTTAGGTTGAACTTTGAGAAAAGGCCCCATATACGAAGTATTACTTAATAGTATGTGTGCACACACATTATACAATGGTTAAAAGAAAGAGGAGAGTAAAATGTATTTGAGAGCATAGTAGTTAAACAGAAGAAGAGCAACTGCAAAATGTATTCTTACATATTAATGGTTCGAAAGAAATTTATAGCTTGATTTAAGTTAACATATACTCCCCTTCCCTCCCTTCGAAATCCCACCAACAAACCAAGCCTACTAAGAATCCTTCCATAGGGTTCGATGAACTCATTGGGGTTACTGCAAGGAATACTTCTCTCAAAGAGATATTGATCAAATTTATAGGTAGTAATGATGTAATACGGAGTATAATTAAATACTTATGCATGCTAGCACAATTATTTCTCAAGCAAGCAAACATAGAAAAGATTAAATAAAGCTTCCAGGGAGAGGGCGAAAAATACCTCATTCCTGATAAATTGGTAACATCACCAAATGCGAGTGCTGATGTAGCATCACCATAAAGATCATTATCATCACCAACGCCAGAAATAGATTCGTCAAAAGAACTTGATGCACTCTCTGATGTTTCTTGACACGCTGCTTCAATCAGACCATATCTATTTCTGTCCAGATTGACATGCTCAGTTATGTTGACTTCTGAACTCTCTCTGACTAGATCAACATGTCCTCCCCCATTCTGTTGAGCAATCGCCGTATTCACGAAAAATGTAACATCATCATTGCCATTGTTGGGAAACTTTACATAATTCACTTGATCATTATTGTTGTTATTATTATTATTAGGTTCTTTGACAGGATTTCCGTTGTGCCCCATCATTGAATCCTCCATAGCCATGTCTGATCTTCCAAGGAACTTTTTAGGCTGTAAAACAATATACCCAAACGGCCAAACAAATAAATGAGACAGCTTTTACAATCAAGATTATCTGAAATTTACAGAAAAAGAAGAAGAGAAGAAGACAAACAGTCCAACGCATCAAAGCATCAATTAAATTCTTATAATAGAGCAAACAAATGGTTTCAGGAAACATACAGTGTACTTCAATCTATCTACTAAAAGAGATGTGGGGGTATTAGTCAATGTTCGAAATTGTGTATTGCGTAATCATGGCGGATTTTTAGAATTGCATATTGCGTAAGCCTCATTGCGCAATGAGGCGTATTGCTGAGGCGTAAATATATATATATATATATATATATATATATATATATATATATATATATATATATATATATAACAAAAAACATTATTCAAGAGAAACCAGCAAATGCAATATTAAAGCATCAAACGGAGAAGCAGTATATACAAAAACGAATAAGCAAAAATAACATAAACAAGCTGGGAATTAACATCAAGTATTAATAAGCAGAAAATTTACATTAATATCTAGTATTAAATTCAATAGAAACAAGAACGAATCATCAAAGAGAGAAGCAGTACAGTTGAACTGTCAAAGAGAGAAGGCTGAAGAAACGACCAAACGGCAACTGAAAGCAGGCGGTGGAAAGAACTGGTTATTTGGTTTATTGCGTATGATTTGCCGCTAAGACTTGCGGTGAGAAGAACGCAACAAACCTACGCTGCAGACCTAGTCGCAATATGCAATGCAATTTTACGCCACAGCTGAGGAAATAACAGGGCCATAAGGCGCTATTGCATTGCGCAATTGCAAACGTTGGTATTAGTGTTCCAAATATGGAATTTCGACAGTCTAAAACTCATTAACGATACACCTGCGGGTGGTGTTTCATGAATTGATAATTGCAAGCAAGCTTAATTTTGGTATGAGAAATACCTACCTAGACAGGATGAACGATGAATCGAAGGAAGAAGAGAAGCTTGTGGAGTAATCATTCTGAGAATTAATTAGTGTTTGTGCTGGAGTCCAACGGTAGGATGTCAAGTTATACTGCCACATACACACTCCCCGTTTAACCGGCCCAATACTTTAGGAAGCTTACTAATTACGCAGTAATTATTCACAACATTTATTTTGGCAATATGCACGGGAAATGATTTATCAAAATAAGTTACATATGCATATCTTTATCTTTATATAATATAAAGTAACAGTTGATGCACGAGAGAAAAATCCCGTCCAAAATAAGAGTAAAAATGTAAATCCTTATCCTTACCATCTATACTGCATCCGTATTAATGTAATATATATGCCATAATGTAAACTTTATTAATTGCCCACATAAATGTTGATTAATTGACTTTAAAATGTAAGCATTTACGGAGAATTAATTATGGTACAATTTTATTATTTAACATAAATAAAATTGGTTTTAATATTAACTTTGAGCCGGTATAATGATACGACTTAAATAGAACTTTGAGCCAGTGTAAAGTATCTTGATGTTTTTAAAGGATATACCGTATACGTAGTACTCCCTCTATCCCGGAAAGAACTTTCCGCTTTCCTTTTTTAGCAGTCTCAAAAAGAAGTTCCCATGACGGAGGCCGCAAACTGGGGATCTGTGAAGCTGATTGCAACGAGCCTGGTTTTTCCGATTACCAATGAGGTCTATGGTTCCTCGATCGGTGTTGGAGATGATGTTGACTGATAGACGTTATATTTACTGGTGTTTAACATAAGTATGTATAAGTTTTTGTTGAAGAAAAGAAGAGAAATCGGGCAAATACCTTCAGAATGGGAGCTAGGGCATAAAACATCGCGATGAACGGCTTTTTGGACCAAGAGGATAACGTTCTACCCATAATTCGAGTATAACTTATTGTAGAGAACTCAAAATCACTCGATTTGAATTTCATGTGAATTTCAAGTCAATAAGGTACAAATGTTATGAAGACGTCATGGCCAGAATATGAAAGGATTAAGACTCAATCAACCAATAAAGTCAGATGTTGCTTGTGGGATTTCAGGATGCATACCTCTCAATGTTTTATTCATAACGTTTGATTGGATTACTAAAAAGTCATCATTCAAGTTTTGGTGGATAGAAGAGTTCATTATCTACAACTTTGGTGAAGGAATCATGTCCAAATTCGTTGCGAAACATCTCCAAAATCCCAGGACAAAACCGGAGCCGGAATTGCACTATAACCAGCGCCGGTTATGTGTTTTTCGCACCAAAAGAGGGCAAACCAATAGCTTGACCGGCGCCGAGCTACCCTTATAACCGGCGCCGGTTAAGCCTGATTCTGCTAAAACACAGCAACGTGCTAGCTTATTCTTGATGGGAAAACCTCATCTTCCTCATTGTTGATCAAATATTACCTCCATACCTTATTGTTGGGCTCGAATAGACTAAAAGATGCCATTCTTTAGCCTATATAAAGCCCTTAATTCATCAAACAAAGGCATTCCATTCCATACTTTAATTCCTAGTTTTTATATTTTTTTCTTGCAATTGTTCTTCAAGTTCTTGAGGAGGAAAGTTCATCCTCCGAAATCATTGGTGTTTAGGTATTATTTCCTTTGTAATTTCATATTCCATTAAATTTAATTGTTGTATTATGATTAATATGAGCATTAGAGGCTAATTTCTTAGCTAAGGCTAGGGATGAACTTCTATGCCCACTAGGTGTTTGATAAAAGTTCTGAACCAATAAATTGTGATTTATCCTTTATATATTGATTGTTTATGACTATGGTAAACACCATAGAAGTATGTTAAATTTAGTTTATACTTGCAATTAATGTTGAAGTCTAAACTATGAATATTAAAGGATAAACATATATAGTACCGAGAATAGAAATATATCCGGTCTTATATGATACGGGTGTGATGTCTTGATATTCAACGGGGTTTTTAGTAGATGAATGTAAGCCGTAACGGGACTTACACGTAACGAAAACCACGCTCTCGCTGCCTTAACCGGAGTTGAGAATATATTAGCGACATCGTACTCATAATTATTGGCGAAGAACTAATATTCAACCCTATTAAAGCATTTAAATGATTCCCGAAGCCTTAGTTGTTGTTATTATTCATCTTAAACTCAAAATTAGTTAACAATTATCTTCTTGAACAAAAAGTGAAAAAACAAAAATTATAAAACACAAATCAAAATCCCTACACTTCACTCATTTCTTTATTTAAAGTTATTTGCTCTTGGACTTGAATTAAACAACGTTTCCTTGTGAATTCGACCAGGTATTTTACCGGAATTTATTACTATATCGGCACTTGTACACTTTTAGCTCGTTGACGCCCACAGTGATGCATCTCATGCAGCCTCTTGTCTAGTATAGTTTTCATCTCCTTCAAATGGAGTTCGATGTTATCCATACTCTTCTCCATTCACGGTGACATATAGAATTCCTCCATCATTCCAGCTTGTTGATGTTCTGGGATGATCGATTCCGACTCCAGGAGCAGGAGCAAGTGGTTTGATGCCAATGATAGGTAACACTAAAATCCAGACACACAATCGGAAGATTTATGTACATTAAGTACAGAATTTCGAGAATAACTCAGAAATTCCTTAACCGAACGACAATGGAAGAAGCTGTAAACCAGCGTAAAAGGGAATAGAAAGAGAAGAATAGATTGGGAGGCTTTGAGAGGTCCCGCTCTCCCACCCAAATTCTAACAGAATTCCAGCATAACCTCCTCCTTCCCTCACTCCCTTTTTTATAGTAATTCTACTTTTAAGGGCTGACTCATAATTCCTGACTTACATGGCCCAGAACCCTCATTTATACAATACCACAATTATTTAATATCATTCTATTACTAAAATTGTTATTCTCTCTAGCCAAGGACCTATCATTCATCCACCCTCATATGTTACTTATTGTCACCTTAATGAATTTTCAGTGTGTTTGTCAAAGAAGAAAAGAAACTGTTGGCCGTGCTCCTTCCCGATGGTTATGATTGATGTGATTTGACTCTTAAGGCACTAAATCTTCTTCATGCCTTTTGTTTCAAATCCTTTCCTTTTAACATCGAGAGATATTCCTTACAATATTATAATCATTTATTTCCTAGTCTAGTCTGCGTTGTTGATATAGTGCCATGTATTTAGGACTTGATGTTAATTTTCTTGCTGTATAAATACAATTGTGAAATACAACTAATGGTGTATTTATATGGAAATACAACTCCATTCTCTATTATCTATATGGTATCTTGATCCTTATCCACCCCCCCACCCCCCCTCTTTTGCAGCTCATTATGCCTATCATGGCAAACCCTAATCAATCTCTCCTGGATCTTGCTAACACCACAAATTCCAATCTAAATCTTCAAATCCTGTCTATCCATATCAAACTTGAATGGGAAACCTACTCCTTATGGCGATCTACCATTGTTTTTGCTCCTGAGACAATCAATCTTGAGTCTTTCATCTTGGACCCTTCCCCACCACTCGAGCCTCATGTCGTTACTATTGCTAATGGTGTTTCAACCGCAGAACCAATTCCAGATTTCTCTCTTTGAAAAAAGCACGATCAACTTATTGTGTTATGGATTAAATCTACTCTCTAAGTATGCACTCTCCTTGGTTGTTCGTGTCACGTCTGGGTTATCTACTCGGTGAGTACTCGGCGAGTACTCGCAACTCGGTTACTGACCTTGTTGAGTAGCCTACCACATTATAAAACACATATGTAGTATATTACAACCAACTGTTAATGTAACGTTTGTGCGGTCCTACTCACATTATCTCAAATGGCCTAGAGAGTAATTGAAAAGATGTTACAGGCTCAAACCAGGGCTCGCCGCATGGCTATGAAGGTTCAATTTCAGACCTAGATGAAAGGGTCTCTCTATGTTGGAATATATTGAGAGCAAACGGTCCATTGCTGACTATGTGGCCAAAAATCTACATCCCATATGTGATGAAGATCTCATTGGTCATATATTAAGGGCTCTTGATTCATCCTATGGTGCTTTCTCTACGGCTTTCGTGATGAAGTATGGTTTTGTCTCCATTGATGCACTTATTGGTCTTCTTCAAGAGGAAGCAAGACTCGAATTGGGGGATACTTGCCAACTTGATGTAGTATCTTAGTCTGCTCCCACACCACCATCTCTATTTGTACCTCTGCCATTGGTCACTGCTACCCCATCCTCTAGCAGATCATATTCCACCAACAACAATCACACCTTTCTTTTTGTATTCGCAATTCTGATAATCTTCGTCGTTGTTCTATGTGCTAACTTGTAGTAAACCGATTCATGAGGCTATTGATTTTTGGCAGCGCACAAATCAAATTGATTTTCCCGCTCTCCATTTAAATCGACGACATCAATCTCGCTAGGGTGATGTCACTCCTGCTATTCGCAAACTTTCTCTTGTAGATGAATACACCCGTGCATTAGATTTTCATTTCATTTGCGAACAAGTTGTATCTGGCGCTATCAAAATTTGTCATGTGTATTATGTGGTCCAGTTGGCTAAACCATTAACCAAGGATCGTATTGCTATTCTTTATCCCCAAACTCCAAGTTCGTCCCCTCCTTGAGTTTGCTGGGGGATGACAACCAGAGACATTCCTTCTGATATTGTAGTCAGTTATTTGAATTGTTCACATCTTATTTCCTAGGCTAGTGTGCGTAGTTGAGATAGTGCCATGTATTTAGAACTTACTGCTAGTTTCCTTGCTGCATAAATACAGTTGTAAATGATGTACTACAAAGACAAAGAAATACAACTTCATTCTCTATTCCCTGTACCCATTCATTGCTAGCCATTCTAAAATTGAATTCTCTCTAACTGTTATTAATTTTTCCATCATTCGCAATGGAGTCAAAGTCTCACTATTTTTGGCTTGGGAATGTGATAGAATAAAGCAAAATGGCTCACTAAATTGTTTGCGTTTCTTTATTATGAAGCAATGATCAGTCCATGCAATTATCGACACGAATTTCACTATGTGTCATCCAAAAATAGTCTCTTGGTGCCTTAATACAGGGGTTAAGACTGCATACATCCGACCCCCTTACCCCAC